CTGCCGCTGCTCACCTGCCCACCCAACCCCACCTCTACACATACACCGCCCCCGCCGCCCTGGGCTCCACGGGCACCGTCGCGCACCTGGTGGCCTCCCAAGGGTCTGCGCGGCACGCCGTGCAGCACACCACTTACCCCGCCAGCATCGTCCACCAAGTCCCCGTCAGCATGGGCCCGCGGGTTCTGCCCTCACCCACCATCCACCCGAGTCAGTACCAGGCTCAGTTTGCCCATCAGACCTATATCAGTGCTTCTCCAGCCTCCACAGTCTACACTGGATACCCACTGAGCCCCACCAAGGTCAACCAGTACCCTTACATCTAAACACTGGAATAAGGAGCGAGAGACGCACCCATCCCGGGGGAGTGAGGCGGCCGCTTTTGTACTGAAGAACATGACAAACTAACAATGCAATGGGAGGCTCGTGTGAAACTTGAACGAAGGAGACTTTAAGGAAGAAACGAAAAAGAGGAAAGAAGGGGGAGAACCTATTCTACACTTTTTATTAAAAAAAAAAAAGAAAATGGAAAAAAGAACAGGGAAAAAAAAAAAACAAACCACAAAAAACCAACCATTCTGCACCAAACTAGAGAGAGAGAGAAGCAGAAGGACCCTCCAGCGGGTCCTGTCTTTTGAAGAACTTCACCAACAGACTTTTAAAGGTTATTTTCATCCAATAGTGAGCTACATTTAGAAATTTGTTGTCCAGAACACCTAAAATGAAATCCATGAGGTTTTTAATCCAATAGATATACAAATTAGGGATTTATCCAGCATTTCAAAGGGTTTATACCCCATTTTTGCAGTGGTCTTCATATCCCAAAGCATACATAAGGTTTGGGGTTTTTTTTTCTGGAAGTAGAAAGTGGGTAAGGAAGGCTGAAGGAGGAGAGGAAAACGTTGTTCCAGTGCTCTAAATTCGGATCTAGCACTGCTATGCTCAAACACACCTGGGCAAAACAGGCCATGCAGCACTGGTCAAGAGCAGAAGCAATGGGGATATTTCTCCCTTTTTTTGAACACACTGGATAAATCCCTGAGAAATGCTATTCCTAAACGAGATCTCTAATAATGTATGTTGGATTTCAGTTACGTTTCATTTTATTTTATTTGGAAATTTTCCTTTTCAATCCCTAGCCGTTTTAGTATAGGAGGAGATATTTTAGCTGCCCCCCACCCCCCGGTAGAATGTAGCACTATACAGGTCATATGCCCTTTTTACTATTTTGTGTTGAACTTCAATGATACCAATAGACTATTCCTCAATGTGATTGCACAAAGAAAAGTGATATAACATAGGCATGTAACAAATGTGATTGTCCAGGTATGTACGTGTGTGTGTGCGCGTGCGTGTGTGTGTGCAGATGCTGCCTTCTCTCTGTGGTGTGTTCCTCGGCACAGCCATTACAACTGTCACAGTCTTAGTTTTACATCATTCCCTCGTAGTGCCTTACCGAACTACAGACGCGGTTTAAGGGTTTACTTCCACTGGTACTCCTAGAAACTGACTGAGGCTAGTCGGAATTTACTCTCAGCTCTTTTTTTCTTTCTTTTGGGTTGTTATTGCTGATTTTCTTCTGGTGGTGGTGGTGGTGGTGGTGGTTTTTTTTCCCACGTTGTCAATCTTCGCTCACTTGGTGAGGTATTGGGGAGGCTTGTCGGGGTTAGCAGTGCGTGTAGCTGGGTGTTTTGTCGAGCACTGGATGGGCTGGAAGTGACCGGGTTGGTTGTGAGACCCAGGGTGACTCGCAGAGGATCTGGGGATTTGTTTGTAGACTGATCTGTTTCTATCTTGTTGAAATAGCAGATTTCCTCCCTGGAAACTGAATTCTCATTCTGCTGTTTGCCGATGTTCTCGGTGGAGTGGGAGGATGGCATCCACCCATGTTGTCAGGTTGTCCCGGTTGTGTGTCTGAAATGGGAACAAAACTTTAGCCCATGAAAGGGGGAAGTGTGAGTTGTTGCCAGCGTCTCTCACTATAAGTTAATGGAAGGGGGTCAGGAAAGGGCTGGAGTCCCAAAGCAAACACGAGAAAATCCAGTTGAGAGAGTCAAACTCAGGTTTCTTCAGTGAAAAGAGTATTGTAATACATTGGGCCTTACCCACTGTAACGTAGCTGCGACAGCGTGCGCTTCCCCTCCTCCCTTCTTACCTACACCCCAAAAGATTGCCTGCAGTGGCAGAGTGACCCTGTGGGTCCTCCATGGCAAGAAACGCTACGTGGTCGTCTTGTTTTCCAACAGGTTTCTAAAGAGAGCCTTTCCTACAGTTGGGTTTGGTTCAGAAGGGAGTTTCGCTGGTAACGACAGTTGCACTGGTGCATCAATATTTGGAAGTGTCTCTAGAATACCCATGCCTGTGGATGGCCTGGGGAGGAAGGAGAGAAGAGAGTTTGATAGAACCTTTCCATGTTTCCATGAAAGCTGAAGTCTACATGGCTGCTCCGTTCCACTCTACATTTCCCTGTAACTAGGGCATGAAGTATTCAGGTATTTCACAAGATGCTGGAAAATAGCAGGTTCGTCTGCAAGATGGCAAGGGATGGGTTCCCTGGGTGGCAGTGAGGAAGGAAGCTCTCTCAGTTGGGAAAAGCTGACAAAGATAAGCACAAATATATTGTCCTTTGGTAAGTGCTTGGCTGGCCTGGAAGAAGAAGGGATCCTGCTACGCATAGGCTGTTCAACAAGGCTGTTGTCTTCTGGCAAACCACCAAATAACCTCCTTGGTTGCCAGCTCTGGTTCCCAGTCTACCCTTGCACAGTTTTCTTCTGCTGGCACTTCATTCCAGCTCAATATACTGCAGATAAGGATGCGATCTCCCAGCAGCCTATGCACCTTACCCCCCTTCTTTTGGAAAGACAATACATCCCCTTTCATCTGAGGCAGGAAAATAAACCCCTGCTCTCTCTGTTGCATTCCTGTCCTCTCCCACCAGTTCGGGAGCGAGAGCGTCATGCTGCTTGTGTCATGAAAAGGAAAGATAATGTTATTTTATTGTATGGTTGTTATGATTATGATTATTATTTTATTATTATAATATTTTACTCTGGGTTTTAATTGCACACGCATTCCTTAATCTTTGTGGGTTTTTTTTCTCTTAGTATTGTTGTTATTGTTGTTAATTTTATTTCTCTTCATCAGTGGCATCGGAAGGGTTGCTGTGTTTGTGAAAACTACAGGAGGCAGGGGAAATGAGATTGTCCTGAGGATGAAAAGTCTGCCACTAACTTACGGGGAGGGGGGTCG